AAAGACAAAAGACAAAAAAAAAAAAAAAAAAAAAGTTATACTAGTAAAGACTAAGTCCATATCACTGCATTTTCAAGTGATTCAGAGGTATAAATTAAAAATAACTATATTTCTTGAAGATTTTATGATGCAGGATCAACTCTTAAAATTTATGCAAACTACTTCTATAATTCCAGTTTTAATAGAAGGCATAAACTACAAATAGCAAAAGAAGAAAGAACTGGTAAGAGTCATTTATTAAGCACTTGCTCCAGAATGGACTTTTGTGCATATTAACTTATTTCAACATTACTACAAATTTCATAGCTAATAAGTGCCAGAGTCAAGATCTAAACACAGGCGTCTCTCATAGTGCATGCACTTTTCACCATTCTATATGTATTTTACCATGGCTTTATTCTGCAACTGAACTCTCCACCCCCCGCTCCAGGGAATAAAGCAAAACATGATTATTGACATATTTGTGGATTTTAAAGCCATTAAAATAGAGATAGATTGCAAATTACTCAGTCTGAACTGATTACTACATTACATAGACAGGTAATAAATTTTAAATAATCATTGATTGTTATCCTTATTATATCAAAATATAACTACCCAGATACTTTAATGTCAGGTGTTTTCTTACCCTCTATTGATAAATTCATGACCAGTCTTACTTTGAACTGTCTTATCCATAAGGAAAACAAAAGCATTCACTCTGTTAGGACTACTTGTATTTACCTGTACAAACATAAATTTAATTTGTATATTTTTTCCCCTATGTCCAAGGATATGTTGGTTTTTAACTCTAAGGCAGGACAGTTGAATAAATCAGATTTTATAAATATATTTTACTCATACAAGCATCAGGAAAGAACTACATTGGTTAGTACTTGGTGTTTAGTAGCTTAAATATTTGGTACAAAACAACATAGTTGCCCTTGACACATTCCCTTCTATCTTCCAAAATATTTTTCAAAATCTGAAAATTATCTCACCTGTAGAACAGCAAATACTGGTTTATGTACACAGTTAAAGCTAGATTAGACTGCTTATATGTATTTATTCACATGTTAGTAAAATCCAAAGAAGATGCCCCAAGAGGGAAATGCCCCAATTATCTTCTGGTTTGAAGTAGCAATAAGTGGTTTATTTGATAATAAAAAAGTAAATGGTTCTTTGATAAAGCAGTACATGCTGCTGCTTATTGAATGAATACAGGTCTTCGGCCTTATTTAAAATACCATAGATTTGCATTTCCTTTATAATTAGAGATAACAAAAGTACTTTCACAAATCCGTTGTCCATTTGCATGTCTTCTTTGGAGAAAAGTGTATTCACATCCTTGCCCAGTTTTAATTCATATTCTTGTTGTTGTTGTTATTGTTGCTATGGAGTTGAAGGGTTTCTTACATATTTTAATACTAATCCCTTGTTAGACACATGCTTTACAAAGATTTTATCCTATTTTGTATGTTTCCTTTTCACTCTGCTGATTGTTTTCTTTGCTGTGCAGAAGTTTTTCAGTATGAAGTACTACCACTTATTTCATTTTGTTTTTGTTGTTTGACTTTTGGTGTCATAGCCACAAAATCATTGCCAAGCCCAAAGTTCTGCAGCTGTTCCCTTTTATTTTCTTATAAAAAATTTAGTATTGTGACTTATGTTTAAATCTTTAACTCATTTTGATTTGTTTTTCTATATGTTATAAAACAAAGGTCAAATTTCATTCTTTTGCGTATATGTGAATTCAGTTTTCCCAGCACCATTTTGTAAGAGGCTATCCTTTCCCCATCGTGTATTCTTGGCAACTTGTTGTTGATGAGTTGGCTATTTGAAGGTGGTTTCTGGGCTTTCTCTTCAATTTCATTGGTCTATATATATCTGTCTTTATTTCACTACCATACTGTCAAATTATGGTAGCTTTGTAATATGCATACATAAACATACACACACACACACACACACACACACATACACATTGTATTTTCTTATTTATGTTTCTTTCTTTCTTTTGTTATCATTATTTTTATTGTACATGTTTATGGGGTACAAAGTAATATTTTGGTGCATGTATACAACGTGCAGTGTTCAAATCAGGATAATTAGTATATCCGTCATCACAAATATTTACTATGTCTTTGTGTGGAGAATATTTAAACTTCTGTCTTCTAGCTATTTGAAAATACACTAAGTTTTTGTTGTTTATAAACACATAACACTACTAGAGAACACTAGGACTTATTCTTCTATCTAGCTATAAGTTTGTAACTATTAAGAAACCTCTCTCTATTCCTCTCCTTCCCCCCACTTTTCCCAGGCTCTAGTAACTACATTTCTACTCTCTAATTCTATTAGGTCAAATTTATTAACTTCCACATATGAATGAGTCTGTGCAGTATTTTTCTTTCTGTGCCCGACTTACTTCGCTTAACATAATGATTAACAGGCTCATTCATGTTGCTGTGAATGACAGGATTTCATTCTTTTTTATAATTGATTGCTATTCCATTGTGTATCTATACCACATTTTCTTCATCCATTTATCTGTTATAGACACTTAGGTTGATTCCATATCTTGGATACTGTAAATAATAGTGCAATAAACTTAACTCTTCCATGTACCGATTTCCTTTCCTTTGGATAAATAACCAGTTGTTGGATCGCCAGATCATATGGTAGTTCTATTTTTAGTTTTTGGAGGTAGAGGCTTAAGGGTGTTTTATGTGTGTGTGTGTGTGTGTGTGTATGTGTGTGTGTGTGTGTGTGTGTATGATCATGTCATTTGCAAACAGGGACAGTTTTGACTTCCCTTTTTCCGGTTTGGGTGCCCTTTATTTATTTCTCTTGCCTTATTTCTCTGACTAGGACTTCCAGGCTGTGTTGATTAAGAGTGATGAAAGTAGGCATCCTTTTCTTATACCTGCTCTTAGAGGAAAATCTTTCTACTTTTCCCCATTCAG